GCCCCGACCCCCCGGGGGGGGCGCCCCCGCGCTTCCCAAGGGGGGCACGGTAGCAGTGCGCCACCGGGCCGGCCCTTTTTTTTTTTTTTTTTTAAATTTATTTAAAGATGACCGGTAAGGGGATCTTAACCCTTGACTTGATGTTGTCAGCCCACGCTCATCCAGTGAGCTAAGCGGCCATCCCTATATGGGATCCGAACCCATGGCCTTGGTGTTATCAGCACTGCACTCTCCCAAGTGAGCCACGGGCCGGCGCCTTTAACAGTGTTTTTGGCTAAGTTCAGAAGCGTTGGGTTGATTTTAATTGTGGGTGTTGGGTAGGAGTGAGTAGTTGAAAGTATTGCTTTAATTAGCCTTTGGTTTTTAGTTGTATTTGTAATTAAACAGACATTTGTAGATTACTCATTATGTGCTCAGTAGGTAGTGAGTGTTACTGGAGTGGACAAGACACACTCCTTGCCTACAAAGAATGTGGGGATTGGTACATATTTCAACTACTGTACATTTTTACAGGTTTTTTTTTAATGAGAAATTAAGAAATTCTTTCCAGTTATTGTTAAATGTTGGTTTTTCCTCCTAGATGGTAATATCTGTTCTTTTTGGAATCTTCAGAAGAAAATATTTCAAGAACTCAGTCTAAAATGTTTTTGCTGTAAAATGTATAATGACTTGTTTCTCACAATCAGTGTCTCGACGAAGTAGTGAAGAAATGAAACGGGACATCTCTACACCGGAGGGAGCATCACCAGCTTCTCTTATGGCTATGGGAACCACGTCACCACAGCTTTCCCTGTCCTCCTCTCCCACAGCATCTGTGACCCCCACCACCCGAAGCCGGATAAGGTAGAGAACAGTTAATGGTGATACATTTCATGTGTGCCTTTCCTGGCCTTTCAGAGTCAATGATCGGGTTGTAAAATAATGACATTTGAGCACTGTGTTTTTTCTTTCTTTTTTTTTTCCTTTTTGTCTTTTTTCGTGACCGGTAACGGGATTGCAACCCTTGGTGTCGCGCCCATACCGCAACCAGCAACGGGATCGCAACCCTCGGTGTTGCGCCCACACCGCGCTCAACCAGTGAGCGGACCGGTCTCTATATGGGATCCGAACCCTCGGCGGGAGCGCCGCCGCACTCCCAAGCACTGCCCTCTACCGAGTGCGCCACCGGGCCAGCCCTTTTCTTTCTTTTTGTGTGAAGTTTACTGTTCTTCTCTTTTGTGTCCAGAAGATACTGACAAAGCAAAGAGTTGGTCTTGTCCCAAGCAGCTGTATATGAGTGTGTGTGTGTGTGTGTGTGTGTGTGTGTGTGTGTGTATATATATATATATTTTTTTTTTTTAAATTAGAGAATGGGGGCTGGCCAGTTAGCTCACTCAGGGTATGGTGCTGGTAACACCAGGGTCAAGGGTTCAGATCCCCTTACCAGCCAGCCACCAAAAAAAAAAGAGAATGGTTGAGCGCAAAAGTAAGTATTGTGGGGCCGGCCCGGTGGTGCACTGGAGAGTGCGCCGCTTGGGAGCGTGGCGGCGCTCCCGCCGAGGGTTCGGATCCCATGTGCAGACCGGTTCCCGCTCACTGGCTGAGCGTGGTGTGGGCGCAACACCAAGGGTTGCAATCCCGTTGCCAGTCCCCGGTACGGGCGTGACACCAAGGGTTGTGATCCCGTTACCGGTCAGTAAAAAAGACAAAAAGGAAAAAAAAAAGTAAGTATTGTGAAATTTGAATCCTGAGGGTATGGGAGGAGTGTTAGGGAAGGCCTCCTAGAAGGGTAGAATTTGAGTGGGGCCTTGAGGATGTAGATTGGTGTGAAGGGGAGCATTATTGGCAAGTCAGTAACTTGAATGAATGTACAAAAATCCCTTTTGAATATGTGAGGAATTGGGGGATGCTACAGGTAGGTGATACTGCAGATTCAGAGGGCAGATATAGAAGACCAGAGCAAGGTGTACTTACCATATCAGGGAGCAGTAGAAGGAAAGATTGAACAGGTAGGGTATGGCTAGGTAGTGGAAACTCTTTCAAGTCAAACTGAGTCACTTTGATGTGGTAGAAGCTATAGAGTGGAGTGAGTAAACTAGTGTGGGAAGATGATTCAAGGATTATTTTGTTCTGGATGAAAGTTAGGGAAACCAGCTAAAAAGATATTATAATATTTCTAGGACAAAGTCATCAAGTCGGGACTGGGGTGAAAATGGTAGAAAAGAGGTGAAGAGAGGGTTGGAGCCAGGAGTTTTTTCAAAGGAAAAGATGATTTCAGCAACAGATTTTTATAAAAGGCATGCAAGAATGGGAAATACCAGAGGTGGCTGTAAATTATTTATACTGGGAGTCTAGGAACATGCTGCTACATTAATAGCTGATAAGCAGTACATGAAAATGTAAGTTTATATTTTATTCCTGATCCTATCATGTCAGAAGCCACTTTGGATTAAGAGGTATTAAGAACTTAGAGGAAAAAAATAGATGTCAAAAATTTAACACACATTATTTATAGGGAAGAGGAAAAACTGTTGACAAGTATTAAGAAGAGTTGGAGGAATAGAAATGGGTTTCAGAAATTTAGTCATATATTAATTTATAGGTTTGAGGATGAAATTGAATATTTGGCCTCTTAAACTCAAACAGTGAACTTACTTTTAAAGCCCCACCTCTAAGGGGGCCAACCTGTTAGAATAGTGGTCCCATAGGTAGTGCAATAGGAACAAGGAGGGAGTACAGTGAGGAGGCTTGCTGGTGCACCCTGGCTGTGCAGGGACGGAACTGTCAGCACTCATGTTTGTGTCCTAGATGATGTGATCCCTGCGTGGTGCCTATGTAAAGGTCACTGGCTTGGGAGACAGGACACCCACTCTTGGCTCCCCTATTTAGGAGCTATGATATTCAACAAGGCATCTCCTGGCCTTAGTTTCCTCATCTTAAAATGAAGTTGCAAGAGTTGACCCTCTAGCTCAAGGGGGCTCTTTTCTGCAACTTCTCATTTTGTCCATACAGTTTACCTTGATGCATTTTAAGCTGTTTCTATAACAAAATGCACCCTGTGTGAGGTAAAGCAAACCTTTTGTGTTCATTGTAATAGTTACTTTTATGTTCATATTTGGTTTTTGGGTTGCCTTTTTGTGTTCATTCACATATCTTAACTTTACCTTCATTTTTTCCCTATGTTCAGTAATGTTATAGCAAACTTCTTTAAACCTTTAAACCAAAGTAGGAATCTGGTGGGCTGGCACACAATGTAAAAGTATATTTCTTCAAGGCAGCAGTCTAACTGCATGTTGAAAAAAATTGGTTATTTTGCTTTTGGTTCTAAGATAAATAGAAATTGTTTACTACTTCAGTGCACCTCTCAGTTGGAAAAGCTTCAGTTCTAAATGTGTTCTTCTTGATTTCATAGAGTACTTTGAAGGGTGAATACTCACAGAGTAAATGTGCTGAGGAATACTAAGCTGCTCGTAACATAATAACCTCTAGGACGTTTATTGGGCTGCTAAGCTCATGGGGCGTGGGGCTAGAGTCTCTGATTTACTTACAATCACTGAAAAATAGATCAATCTTTTAAGAATAGGCTACTTGTCAAGGAGCAGGTACAAAGCACTCCCTTTCTCCAGATATTCCTTAGTGTTCTGTTTTATTTCCAAAGTAGCTGCTGAAAGGAAAGATTTGGTGCAGAATATGTAGGGTTTTGTTAGCTTCTGCTGCCCCATCCACCAGGGTGATTGCAAGATCTTTTTTGATTCAGTGTCTGGTCTGGGGCAGGGTATTTATTCTGCCTACAAGGCAAATGACAGTACCATAAAGTACCCTATGTATAATTTTAAAAAATGAGTTATACATAGCTGGGATTTTTTTTTTCCCTGAAGCTTGTATGATATGTCTATTATATACTAATAAACTCTGCAGTTCCTTGAGGGTGCAGGGACCCTGTATTGGTCACCACTGATTGCCCTGCACTTACACATTGCCTGGTACAATGGCCCTTTGTTAAGGAGTCATTGAATGAGTGAGTGAGTTTACAGAAAAATTCCATTTTCTGTGCAATGTAAAATTCTAACTTCCTACAGTCAATAAAGAGCATACAACTTAGCAGTAAACACATCTGAGGCATTTTATGGAAGTTATAAATGTTTTTAAGGTTTATTGCTGTCTTTTGTCTGTCTTATCTGCTTCCTCCAATTGTAAGCTTCCTAAAGACAGGAACTATGCCTTAGAATCCTCCACCTTCCGTAACCTTTGTCCTGTGTATTTACAATAAGTGATTATAAAAATGAAGAGATGATTAAGGACATAAAAAAGTTTGGAAACAAAAAGGAGTAAAATAAACAAAAGCATAAAGATTATGGAAGGGTAAGATGGTGAATGAAAGGTATCCACAACAGCTTTCAAATGTTGCCAGTACCAGATTGTTCTCCCTGCTTCTTAGCACCCTGGAATGCTTTCCATTGATTGGGAATGCACTTTGTATGGAGTCTTTGCTACTTTCTATGTGGATAATGAGTAGAAACCCTCCCTTCAGATGGCAGAGACTCTTGAGAGCGGAGGGTCTATGGGGCATAAACTAAAAGTTATAGTAAAAATCAAATGAATGAAAAGATATGTCTTATCATTGGATGGCCTTTAATATGTGCTTTTATGCTTTTCAGCATTGCAAACTAATAACTGTTCACTTATTCTGTTGCTCAAATAAAAATAAAAATATTTTCAACTTTGGATTCCCTGGGCCGGCCCGGTGGCGCACTGGATAGTGCGCCGCTTGGGAAGCGTGGCGGTGCTCCCGCCCGAGGGTTCGGATCCCACATATAGACCGGTTCCCGCTCACTGGCTGAGCGAGGCGCGGGAGCAACGCCGAGGGTTGCAATCCCGTCGCCGGTCCCCGGTCCGGTACGGGGGCAACACTGAGGGTTGCGATCCGTTGCCGGACACGGAAAAAGACAAAAGACAAAAAACAAACAAACAAACTTTGGATTCCCTGTTTTCACTTATCAGGGAAGAGAGGAAGGATCCTCTCTCAGCACTGGCAAGAGAATATGGAGGATCAAAGAGGAATGCCCTGCTGAAGTGGTGTCAGAAGAAAACGGAAGGCTATCAGGTAAACATATGGTTCTTTTGTCCCACATGAGGAATTGGCAGACCAAGTGCCAGAGTGTCACAGCTCTCTTCATATCTCACATTAGAAATGATGAGTCTTATACTGAATTTTAGGAACAAATTCTCAAAATCCAACTTGAACTTGGGTGAGTGTCATGTGGATAAAATAAGTTTGTTACCTTTCCAGAGTAGCCAGTCTTTCCAATACTTTTAGTTTAGCTATTATAACATTTTCTTATTTAAGTTCAGGTTACATGCTTTTGTTGAGCAATCCTCTAGACCGAGTGAATATATATATATTCTACTTAAAATTAGTTTAGTTATTATGTTTATATCTTTTAGCTAAGTTGTTTTTATAGCATTTTTCCATTCCCACTGTTCTTTGTGCCCTCATCATTTTACATCTGGACTATTTTAATACCCTGCCATTTCCTCCCCTGTCTGTCTGTTTCTCTCCTTCTTTCAATATTTTATTCAGGTTTTATTTTAAGTGATGTTAAATATTACTTTGGAAAACAGGCTCTAATTCCACACAAAATGGAAACTTCTGAAATGTAGCCATTACACTGCAAAAAAATACAGGTTAGATTCCCAGTGTCCTCACATATGGTTGTAGTTACTGAGACTTCTCCCAGCTTGCAGCTGGTATTCTTGATTGCCATTTCATACTTTGATACAAATGCACAGAAGTACAGCATGAGAAAATAATTAGAGTTTTATGTTCTTGGTCTCGTTACATCAGCCCACATCTCACCAAAATGGCATAAAGGAACTAGCTATAACATCTGCAGACAATTTTTGGGCAAGAGAGATAATGAAATAGTAGAGGAACAGATTAACAGGATTAACAGGATCTGCAGGTCCCTTTTGGACACATTTGTACATGACTTCCTCAGCTGATTTAGGATTAAAGAGCTAAGTGTATTGCAGTGAACATAAAGAAAAGCCATGATAGTTAATGAGGATTTGCTAAGAATCTACATGTCTCCAGCTTCCATTGACTGAAAAGGAAATTAGCAGTGTTGATGAGGATATGGAGAAATGGGTAGCCTTATGCATTGTTGGGGGGAATGTAAAATGGTATCTGCTATGGAAAATAGTATGTTAGTTCATCAAAAAATTAAACAGAATTACCTTGTGATCTGGCAATTCCACTTATGGGTATATACCCAAAAGAACTGAAAGCACGGACTTGAGATATTTCAAATACATCCATGTTTATAGCAGCATAATTCACAATAGCCAAAACATAGAAACAATCCAGGTGTCTATTGACAGAACAAAATATGATAAATGCATATAATGGAATATCATTCTTCCTTAAAAAGGAAGGGAATTTTGACATGTGCTATAACATGGATGAACCTTGAAGACATTGTGCTAAATGAAACAAGCCATATACAAAAGGACAAATACTATGTGATTCTACTTATATGAGATGATAAATGCATATAATGGAATATCATTCTTCCTTAAAAAGGAAGGGAATTTTGACATGTGATGAACCTTGAAGACATTGTGCTAAATGAAACAAGCCATATACAAAAGGACAAATACTATGTGATTCCACTTATATGAAGAAGGGAATTTTGACATGTGATGAACCTTGAAGACATTGTGCTAAATGAAACAAGCCATATACAAAAGGACAAATACTATGTGATTCTACTTATATGAGGTACCTAGAGTGGTAATATTCATAGGGACAGAAAGTAGAATGATGGTTGCCAGGGGCTCAGGGAAGGAGAGAAAGGGTAGTTAATGTGTAATGGATACAACGTTTTAGTTTTGCAAGATGAAAAAAGTTGTGGAAAATGGATGGTGGTGATGGTAGCATATAATATGAATGTACTTAATTAATGCCACCAAACTATATATACTTAAAGATGGTTAAAATGGTAAATTTTATGTATGTTTTAACCACAATAAAAAAATTACTTTGCCAAAGGAAAAAAAAAAAGAGCAGATGATTTAAGATAGAACTAGATAGAAAACCAGCAAGGAAATAGAAGACTTGAACAGCACTATATATACCAACTCAGCCTAAAAGACATTTATAGAACACTCCACCTAGTAACAGCAGAATACTCCTTCTCAGGTGCACATGGAACATTCTAGGATAGGCTATATGTTAGGTCATAAAACTAGTCTCAATAAATTTAAAAGGTTGAAATCATGAAAAATTTTTCCAATCTTTTCTGATCAAAATGAAATATGAATAGAAATTAATGACAGAAGGAAAATTGGAAAAGTAACAAATATGTGGAAATTAAACCACATACTTCTAAATAACCAGTGGGACAGAGATTAAATCACAAGAGAAAGTACTTTGAGAAAAACAAAAATGAAAACACAACATACCAATTTTTTTTCTTTTCTTTTTTTAGCTGTTGCTTTTTATTTACTTAAATTTATATTTATTACAACACTTAAAAAATAATTTTCTATATGCTTTTGCTTTCTGCCAGCAACATAAAATTAAATTTTATTGAGATATATACCACATAAAATTAAATTTATCCATTTAAAATGTACATTTCAGTGATTTTGTTAGTGTATTCACAGAGTAGTGCAAACCATCACCATAATCAATTTTAGAATATTTTCACCATTCCAAAAAGAAATCCTATACCCATTAGCAATCACTCCCCATTTGTCCTAGGCAGCCACTAATCTACTTTGTGTCTGTCAATTTACTTATTCTTGACATTTCATATAAATGGAATTACATAATATGTAGTACTTTGTGACTGACTGGCGTCATGTTTTTAAGGTTCATCCATGTTGTACCCAGTATCAGTACTTTCCTCTTTATGGCTAAATAATATTCCTTTGTATGTATATACCACATTTTGTTTGTTCATTCTTCTGTTGGTAGGTATTTGGGTTGTTTCCGCCTTTTTTGGCTATTACATATATTGCTGCTGTGAACATTTGTGTACGAGTTTTTTATGTGGACATATGTAAATTTCTCATCCTCTTGTCCATCTTCTAGCCTGTTGCAAAATGTTTTTGAAATCATGATCTTGTTATTTTTCTTTAAGCTGCTTCATTTGTTCCCCCCTTGCCATTTGGTTAAAGTTCAAGATTTTTGGCATGAAGAGCAATACCCATTATGATTGATCTGACCCCTATGTAGTGTTGCTCCTTATTCTTGTAAATCCCATTCTTACCTTGGCACCAGATGCCCCTGTCTTCTCACTCTACCCCTTCCATCTGGGGAGTGTCTTTTCTTCAGCTTAGAAGTCACTGTCTGTGCAGAATTGCTTTTGCTCCCACTCCAGCCCTCCAAAGATCCCATTCCTCATATATTGTCCTCCCCTGCCTCCTGTGGAGCCCATGGAACCCATGAAGTCAGATTCTTCCTTGACTTGAACTCATTCCAGGATAGTGTTTTCTATATTGCAGGGCATATTCTTTGGGGGTCTTTGTGTGTATGATCCACATTTCCCGTGTGGTCCAAAATCTCACAGGATATATCACAAGAGTATTGAAGTTGTCGGTTTGCATGTCTTCCTTTATAGATTTTGAACTCCTTAGAGGAGCTCAAATAGATTTTGTCTCCCAGCATCTAGCACGAGGCTCGGCACGACAGAGATGAGTAACTGTCTGAACCTATGTACTGAATGTAATGGAATACTTTTTAAGTTCATTTTTAGAACAATAGTTCTCAAACTTGTATGTAAAAACCTGGAATATTGTGGGAAAAGTACAGACTCCTAAGAACTATTGCTAAAGATTTGTAATTTGGGAGGTATAAAGTGAGGCCCTGGAATCTGCATTTTTACAAGCACCCCAGGTGATCCAGATGCAGTTGATCCATAGTCCATGCTGTGACAGTCACACATGCAGTAGTGATTAAGACCTTGGACTTCAGTGTCAGGTAAGGTTTGAATGTCAGCTCTGTTCCTTACTGTGTGTCTGTGGGCAAATTATTCTCTTTGAGCCTCAGTTTCCTTCTTTGTAAAATGGAACAGTTACTGAGGAAGTCAAGCACAGTTCCTATCATATACTGTCTGTTTAATAGTTTTTCTTTTTTTAGTGCTCAATAAACATATTTTTAAAGATAATTTATTAAGTATATACGTGGGGTACAAAGTTAACTTTCAGGGGCCGGCCCGGTGGCGCACTGCTACAGTGCGCCGCTTGAGAGCGCGGCGGCACTCCCGCCGAGGGTTCGGATCCCACATACAGACCGGTTCCCGCTCACTGGCTGAGTGAGGTGTGGGCGCAGCACCAAGGGTTGCGATCCCGTTGCCGGTCCCGGTCCGGTACGGGCGCGACACTGAGGGTTGCGATCCGTTGCCGGACACGAAAAAAGACAAAAAGGAAAAAAAAAAAAGTTAACTTTCAATAGTTGTGTACAATGTTTAATGGTCAGTCAGATCAGGATAGTTAGCTTATTCATCACTACAATATGTAATCCATCTTTGTGTCCCTTAACCAATTTCTTGTTGACACCCCCCCCCGTTTAATAGATTTTTAATTACTTTTTTCTCCCACATTATTAGGTGTCTTCTTGTAACATAAGTTTTAGATTTTCTTAAACTACTATTTAAATTGAATAATTTTAGATAATTATAAAGTACCTCCCACTTGGTTGTCGAACTTTGCCATGTATCATATTGATTAAATGGAGATAATTCAGGCATTAAATCAGTGGCTTAACTAATGTCTCTCGGTTCCTTCTAATTTAAATTCTCTGATTCTGTGGTCTAAGTTTTTTTCATTTACTTGGTGCTTACAATGCATGAGGAAATATGCTGCATAACGGGATGGTTAACGATATGTAAAGAAAAACCTTTTTGTACACTGGAGGATCTTTGTTACAAACCCAAATCCACTCTTTCTTACTTCCTTTGGATACTTCTGTAATGATATATATGTATGGCTTTTGGTGATGTGTGTGTGTGTGTGTGTGTGTGTGTGTGTGTGTGTAGCTCTTGTTTCTTGTGAGACAGATATCTGTTCTTGCTCTTTGAAAATAGACAGGATGCTGGT